CATGTCTCCTCTACATCAACATGTGTCCCCTCTTCTTCAGGTCTCTTCCAAATCAACATGTGTCCCCTCTTCTTCATGTTTCTTCTACATCAACATGTGTCCCCTCTTCTTCATGACTCTTCTACATCAACATGTGTCCCCTCTTCTTCATGTCTCTTCTACATCAACATGTGTCCCCTCTTCTTCAGGTCTCTTCAACATCAACATGTGTCCCCTCTTCTTCATGTCTCTTCTACATCAACATGTGTCCCCTCTTCTTCATGTCTCTTCTACATCAACATGTGTCCCCTCTTCTCCATGTCTCTTCTACATCAACATGTGTCCCCTCTGTGGAAAGAGACTCTGAAAGTTTCAGGAACAAAGATTCTCTCTCTTTTTGATCTATTTTTATAAAAACCTGTCTGAAAATGAGCTGATCAGATTTTGGCCATTTTATGATGTCATAACGATGTGTTGGCTTGTGTAACCATTAGCCAATCAGCAACCAAGGTAACCCCCCCCCTTATCACCTGAATCTCCTCCTAGGTTAAAAACAGTATGATAGGGGACCTTTAATGTAAGTATGTTGGGGTTTAGCACAGACCTAACGCCCAGTCGGAGGAGTGCTTCAGCAGCTTCAGGTCGTTGGGGATGGTCAGGATGTACATGAAGTGGAAGAGGAGGTCCACCATGATGACGACCCCCAGGTGAGTGAGGCCGTGCAGACTGATGTTCCACAACCCCCACTCCTTCCTGCTCAGGTCCGACTTGTTGGCCTGCAGGGGGCAGCAGACGCTCAATAGACATCATCATCAAGATTCAAGGCTTTGATTGTCATGTGTTCATACAGTAGCTACAGTGTAGATATGTCAATGAAAATCTGAGGTCACAGGCAACACATTAAAAGAGATCAAATAGTTGAAATACTTTATCAGTCTGTGCATTTCAATTTCAATTTAGCTGTGTTTATATAGCACCATATACACCAAGGCTAATCCCTATTTGTGAATTTATAGCAATAAACGTGATTCTATGCGCAGAAAATAGTTTATTTAGAGCCTAATTTCGGCCTCAGGTGCCTAAAAACCTACTTACCTGAACATAAAACTTGTCAAAGGTCATGATGGGCCCGAAGTAGAAGAAGGGGAGGTAGAAGTTGTACTTGAGCAGCTCCAGGATGCTGTAGCTCCCTTCTTTCCTCTCGCAGTTCTCCAGAGCAAAGCTCATACAGCGCATGATGGTGAACCCACATCCTCCGTAGAAGAAGATGTGGCGCAGATCAAAGTCCCCGTCCACAAAGCCTGCCTGTATGGGGTAGAAACCATAGACTGTATATATAGGTAGAAACAGGGCGAAAGCATAACAAATCCTATTCATCTGAGTATGCACTTGTATACCGTCTATTGTCATCATTATTTTGTTGTATGTATTTATTTTGGTCTATTCCTTACTTGTATTTTCATATATTTTATTTTTATGACCATTTATTTATTTATTTTTCTGTTGTATGTTTGTCTATTCATTGGGGAATACCACCTGGAGGGGGTGGGGTTTGGGGGGTTTGCAACTTTTTGTCATAAATGTTGGACATTGGAAAAAAAAATCCTATTAATTTCATAGTTTTTGTAACTCAGAAACGATTGTATTGCCAGGTACGTATATCAAATCTTGAATGAACATGGCTCTTAGTATTGAAAAATAACAATATGTTGCACACATGATGAATGTCATGCATAATGTGTGTTTGGATAACAGTTAGTTTCCTGTTTACCTGCCAGGACACGAAGGGTTCACACTTGAAGGTGGCGAGGGTGCAGAGGCCGGTGACGAAGCACAGCCAGCGGATCTTCACCAAGGACACGCTGTAGAGCAGGACGCAGTGCGTCAGGATCAGGGTGACGTAGGTCAAGCCCAGACTGGTCCACACGGCCAGGATCCCGTACACCATGTACACCAGAGACCTGTGCTGTGGGTCACATGGAGCGCCACCACCAGGACATGTATGTTATTACAATCACTCAAGTACTGACCTGAAGGGAACATTCGATACACTTGCATTTAACTCAGGGGGGTCCAGACCTTTTTCACAGAGGGCCACATACAGAAAAATATATGAAGGGCTGGGCCCGCTCACTTACAGGTTTATTGCCTCATAAGTTCTGTTATAAGTTAGCAAAATCAATCAAATGTAGGTAAATTAAGCTTGATACTTGAAAATGCTGTAAGAAACACAACAGCCTACATCACAGCTTCATATAGGGTTTCATTTATTTAGTTTACAGCTCATTCCTTAAAACAAGCTTCAGATTGCTTATAAAAAGACTAAGATTAGTTTGAAAATGTTTCCATCTTTAATTGATTGAATTTATTTGAAAAGTGGGCACACATGAATACTGTGATATATATATATATATATTTATAAAATGGACAAGTCAAATCAAGCAATCTGATTGGTTCTTAGCCGTGATATACTGAGCGTATACCACGGGTAGAATTGTAAATTACTTTTCACAACAAGTCAGTATCCCTCCGCGCCTGAGAAAAACAGTATACAGTTGGGCTGAACAGCAAACTGCTTGCTTCGCGTCGGGCCGAACCACGCCCCTTAGCTGTGATATAATGAGCATATACCACGGCCTGTCGTGAGCTATTGCTTAAGTATACCTTTATATATACAGTCTATTATTTATACATATATATATTTAATTAGTACAATATATGACAAGCACAAGTTTGATTTGTGGGCCATATTTCATTATGCTATTTGAATTAGCTCAGGGCCGTTTCATGGGCCGCGGGCCGTAGTTTGGACACCCCTGATTTAATTGAATATTTCCATTTTTTGCAACTCAATCAGTGGATTATTTTGTCACCTTTGGAGCCAACATGGAGCAGATCTTAGCGAAGAGCACATGACCGGCGAGAGCAAACAGGATGTGCTCTCTGAAGGTGGAGAACCACATCACCCACTCCAAATCAGCTGAGTCCTGCAGATCCATGAAAACATCCATTAGAAACATTCTTACATCGATGACTCATATCTGCATCAAATATGAATGTTTTCTCACCCTTTTCCTCCCAAAGTAGTACCATCCTGGCTTCACGCTGGGTTTGAACGCCTTTCTGTTTGCACCGGCTGACAAAGAAGAGGTAAGAAAACTTGTATTGTGATTGTCAATAAATACAGAGATATATTTAAAGCTTCCTTGTCCTTTGAATGCAGATGTGCAACTTGTGTTCCATGACAGTGAGGCTCCTAATAAACACAGGGCTAACACAGGATCTATTTTCTTCTTGTGGTATTCACGCTGAAACCTGATCACCCCTGCAGGGTCTGCATAGCTCCAGCTCCCCCCGCCCCCCCACAGTGACGCTGCCTCTCTACTGTATGTACACTGCACATTGTGTTGTCGGTATGTAGCTGCACCACACAATGCTTAGATTTGAACTCCTGCCACGACATCAGGTTCGCAGTTTAGACTAGATTTTGGGGTTCAATGAGGCAAAGATTTCTTAAAGGGGCCTATTCTGCTCATTTTCAGGTTCATATTAGTATCTAGTGCCTCTACTGTGAGCCTTTGAAGAGCCTTTACATGCACACAAACCTATACAACACACTACAGGAGAGGATAAACATCAAATAGCATAAAAGGGCCTATTTAATCCATCATTTTCACATCTAAAAATGCAGCACATTGCATTGTGGTGCTAATCCTTTTGTGCTATAGGCCAGAAGACTTTAGTCGCAGCTGCAAAATTCACAGGTGTGGAAAACAACATGAATGATGGCTAAACTGCGTTCACTCTCGGGTTCTTGTATTGTGCGTGCTGGCTTACTGGAACACTTGAATAAAACAGAGCCATCATTAATGTCAGTGATAACCTCCTACAAAAGTAAAAATCTCTGCTTTCTATTGTGTTAACTTCTCAGGCCACTAATTATAGAAAATATCCAAATAATTGCATTTTCTCATTTCTAAACTAATCGATAAAGTGTGTGTGTGTGTGTGTGTGTGTGTGTGTGTGTGTGTGTGTGTGTGTGTGTGTCTTGAGTATTTGCAGGACAGTGTTGGGGTCCATGTTAATTTTACAAGCAACAGTGCATGTGTTTTGGGACGAAAATGGAGGTCTATGTCACCGAGGAAATAATTAAAACTAGCCCTGGATACACGAAAAAACATCAGGACCATTCAATTAATTATAAACGTTGAATATAACCTGAATGTTTCTTAAGTTTAAGTAGTTTTCTTCTATGCCAAGCACTGTCAGAGTCATCAATCAATCAATGTTTATTTATATAGCCCAATATCACAAATGTTACATTTGTCTCAGTGGACTTCACAGTTTGTACAGAATATCAGTATGACAATACGACACCCTCTGTCCTTAGACCCTCACATCGTACAATCGGTCATGTAGGTGTGTGTGTGTTTACTCATACTCACAGCTGGACACATCCAGGACCCAGCTGCCGGCCCACAGCGTGGCCAGGCAGAGCACCGTGTTGTAGAAGTAGATCTCATATTTAGGAAGAGCCGATTTGATCCCCATTGCTCCACGGACTGAGCTCTGGAAGCTCCTGCATCAAAAGGAGACCCGTCAATAACGACCTGACACCAGGCCTGACTGGTTCTACAGCACACATCCTTTGTAAACAGCTGGGGCTTAAACTAGAAGAGAAAGAGCAACAATGCCACTTTCTCTTTTGCATCTGTAACTATAAAGATATCCGCTATCCGTCATTCTTACAATTCAAAAAATAACAAATTACTTTTAAATCCTTTTCTATCATAAGTGCTGCACCAGCATTTTTCTACTGTAGCAATTCACACTTTGAAATTGCTACAGTAGAAAAATGCTGGTGCAGCACTTATGATAGAAAAGGATTTAAAAGTAATTTGTTATTTTTTGAATTGTAAGAATGACGNGTAAAAAAATGCTGGTGCAGCACTTATGATAGAAAAGGATTTAAAAGTAATTTGTTATTTTTTGAATTGTAAGAATGACTTCACGCTGAATACAGAATGATGGACAAGCAGCGGATATCTTTTTAGTTACAGATGCAAAAGAGAAAGTGGCATTGTTGCTCTTTCTCTTCTAGTTTAAGCCCCAGCTGTTT